GCTGGCTGTCCGTCCGCAGGTCAAGGCTGCTATCCAACCGCTGCACGACCTTCTAACGCGATTCGTGCCCGATCTCTCCTACCTGACAACTATCCACCCCATTTTCGTCACGGTGAGCAACCCCATGTGTATTATTAGTTCCATCAATTCAATCCGTTTTCCTGTGGTGCGCATGCCACAGTCCTGTGCCACCGCTGGGTTTTTCAGCGTTGCACTGCCCGTGCTGTCGGTGCCCATCTCACAGATCTCGACCACCCTATGTCCAGACCTTCACTATCAGGACCATCTGATCTATCATTACGCGGGCGGAATCGTGCTCGCTGCACTACGGCGATACGCCGAGGCAGCCGAATTCTTTGAATTGTGTGCGAGCGCTCCCGTCGCCGGGCCTGTCGGGGGAAGTGGTGGCGGGCGCGGCCCTTCGCAGGGTCCGATGGGCATGGGCATTGGCATGGGAAGTATGGGTATGGGCATGGGTATGGGCATGGGCATGGGAATCGGTATTGGGATGATGCCCTCCGGCGGTGGAGGCAGATTCGCGAATCTTGGCCCTCGGAGCCAAGCATGTTCCAGGTGGAGGCCGCCAAAAAGTTGCTGCTCGTACAACTAATTTTACACGGGAAGGTGCGTGTGTGCTTACGTTCACGAAAAGCGGGCTGGTGATGGTGATGGTGTATGCAAGACTTTACCGCTTCCAAAGTATACTCACCCGACGGTCGCCAACTTGAAGGGTACCCCGTACAATACACTCGCCAGAGCTTACCCAAGCCTTGAACAAGTCCATGCCATAGCGAACAAAGAAAGGAGCGCGTTCGCTGCGGTATGTGGGACGCCTTGTGAAGGATTCTGTATTTAGACGGCGTTGATTCCTTGCACAGGACGACAACTACGGCTTGCTCAGACTGGTAGTGGAGAGAGCGCCCCGATGGGCTATCAGGAAGCTCACTGAAACATACCTGACCCTCAGTCTTCCAGAAATTGGGCGCGCTGCAGGAATTGAGGACGTAGCGGAAGTTCGGCGGATAGTACTAAGCATGGTGCGTATGTCAGACATGAGCTCGTGTCTGCACTCGTCCCAGAAAGAATCGGTGAGCGTTCTCATACGATTTTTGGACAGATCGAGGCGGGAGAGATCGATGCGAGCATTGATGCCAGCGGGTCGGTTACATTCGCAGACGAGGAGCCGACGGCAGCGTCAAAAGCAGAGATCGACCGAGCACTCCGGGTGGCGCAAGAGCAGGAGCAGGTGCTCCGCAGGCTAGAACGGGAAATCGCAAGAAACAAGGATTATCTGCAGAAGGCGCGTTGCTGGTCGCTTGTGAACGCACACGCGACGCATAACTAACGGCTACGGGGGGCCTGTAGGCGGTGCGAAGCCGGGAGGAAGGCTCGAATTCGTCCTCATCGAACTGGCCTTATATCGAAGAAGACCTGTGGGGGGGTTCGCCCGGAGGCCGTTGGGCTGAAGAGTCGGTGTACTGAAGGGACGGATCGAATCGAATCGCGTCCGCGGGGTTCGGGAACGAGGTTTTGTTGTGTTGTGTTGTGTTCTCTTGCTGATGGGCATCTGATGATTCTATTCCGCTGACGAGAAACGTGTGCATGTAATTCTGTGGGAAGGAATTAACCAGTCAGGGAAGTCTCGGTCATCAGACAAATGCAACGTTAAACATTTACGATGCGAGAAGGGGTCATCGCTGAGTCATTGGCTGATTGGAGAGCGCAATTGCGGTCGGGAAAGGTGGTTGGGTGAGCGTGATGACGTGAAATGACGCGAATTATCTAATTTCGCGATCTGATCGAAGGGAACGAAGACCCAAAAGGGGATCACCGACTACACGCGGTCTCTTTGGCCAGCGAACTGCGAGACTAAGCAACAGCAAAATGCGTGGTTTTCTCGCTCCCTGGCCGCGAAGCTCGGATATCTATTTCCATTTTAATATATTTGCCAGGTTCTGTACGCTATAAGAAGCCCCATCTGGTCGTGCACTGCCCGTATCTCTATCACGACCTCTGTTTATTGGTTGTTTCGTGTGGATGTGTTTCCCGTCCAAAACTCAAAAAGCACTCTACTCGGACGAATCCAACAGACAGACCTCCTCAGCTACAAAAGCCCCTGCTCCCGTCGCAACTTCCTCCACATCCCCCAACGACTCATCCATGGCTCCCAACGTCGCTATCATCATCTACACCCTCTACGGCCACGTCGCCCAGCGTTCGTGTCCCACGCATCCTTTTCGCTGATCCATTGCTCAATCCTCTCTTGTTCTCTCCAGTGGCCGAGGCTGAGAAGAGGGGCATCGAAGCTGCCGGTGGTAGCGTTACCATCTACCAGTAAGTCCTCCACTGTGGGCCACGGCGATCGACATGTTGGTCTGACCCTCATCCTCTCTGCCAGGGTCGCCGAGACTCTCCCCCAGGAGGTTTTGACCAAGATGCACGCACCTCCCAAGCCTAACTACCCCGTCATCTCTCCCGGCGACCTCGCCAACTACGATGGCTTCCTCTTTGGCATCCCCACTCGCTACGGTAACATGCCCGCTCAATTCAAGGTATGCATATATCTTTACTGTTTCGATCGCGCATCGGGCTTGGGGCTCAGACATTTTTAATCTTTTGTAGGCCTTCTTGGACGGCACCGGCCAGCTCTGGCAACAGGGCAAGCTGCACGGCAAGTCCGCCGGCGTGTTCGTCTCCACCGGTGGTCTCGGTGGTGGACAAGAGGCGACCGTTATTTCGTGCCTCTCGACCTTCGCCCACCATGGCATTTCCTACGTTCCCCTCGGCTATGCCACCGCCTTTGCACAACTGACCAACACCTCCGAGGCCCACGGTGGTACGTATTTGTTTTGCAAGTTATGATGTTGCTGATCACATACATACATTTTGTTGCCAGGCTCTCCTTGGGGTGCGGGTACTCTCGCTAGTGCCGATGGTTCGCGCCAGCCCACTCCGCTCGAGCTTGAGATCGCCGAGATCCAGGGCAGGACCTTCTACACCCATGTTTCCAAGGTGCGCAAGTGAGCGCAGCCCCGTCGCCATGTATTACGTGCATTGTACCGTGTTCCGAAAATCCAATCCAATCACTTCATTTTACCCCTTTTCGAGCACAGTAGTGATTTTGGGGCGGCGTAAGGGGCCCCTCCTCGGTTCTAGAATGTAAGAGAATGAGCCATGTGAGCACCACCACCACCGTGACCGTGCATTCATCAATCAAACATCTGCATCCATCTGAACGTTCTGAACTTCTGAAGAAGTTGATCCCGGGCCGTCAAGGTGGCTCTTGTGGTGCGCATTCATGCCGCACGTTGTTCGGAGCATCGAGCGGCCTAAAAATGGAGCGTGTTGCTCGGTTCCAGAGCAGTCAGCGTCGATGGTTGCGTATCGCGTAGCCCTTGTGCCGGCAGTGCATCCAGTCCAGTGTCATCCATGCAATAATCGCTCCCGGGCCGTATTCCCGTGAGCACAGAACTAGCGCCACGTGCGGTCATTGAGCGCACGGAGCGGCCTTTTCCGTCCAATTAAAGTAGTCACGTTCTCCACCGTACTCACGTCGGGGGATGCGTCCATAATATCGATGCGGTGCTTCCTTTCTCAGATCAATAACATGCATGTGATGGACTCGGAGTCTACTACTGGTAGAGGCCACATGCGCGCGCTTTCTTTAGGCTCGTTATTTTTATTTTTTTCGGTTTCCCTCCGGCTCCCTTGGAACGTGGATGATGTCCCTTTCCATTTTTTTCCCCTTTCATTTGCATTTGGTTGATTGGTTGATGATACCGCAGCTCCATTCAGCACTCGGCGCTCTGGAAATTTCAAGTTGTTTTGGCGGGCGCTCAACACTTCAGTACTTCAGTTCCAGTCGGGGACAAGTAGTCGAAAATTTAATCAAGATCATCTATATCGGGGGTGGCGTAGCACCGTCTTTCTCGCGCGATCGTCCATTCGCCCATCGCCCATCCACATCCCACATCTCTGTCCCTGTGGCGTTATGCTATCGTGCGAAACCGGATTCGGATGTTGGAAACAATCGTTCGCAAATAAACGCTCGGGAATTTCGCTTATTTTGGCTTAACTTATCCCGTTTCCCCGTTCCTCGTTATAGTACTGTACTGAAGTTCTTGTGGCCCTTTGGCCGGCCTGGCCCCTCGTCTATTCCTGGAGGCGATCAATCACTGGCATGTGTGTGTTCTGTTTTTTTTTTTTTGATTTCCAGCCCGGCGAACATTTCGGTCCCCCTTTCCCCCTTCTATACTTATATTTTCGGTCAAGGCGACGCAACTAGGTGGCTTGCAGTTGAGCCACCATCGTGAGAAAATAATAATAAATGAAGATCCTTCTGAACCACGCACCAGAAATGCCGAAATGCCCTCTTGCCTTCGCGCTTCGCGCGGAATGTTGCGACCGACACACATGCATATCGTACCCGGGTCGCGCCGAAGAAATCAGTCAGGCGTGCGCGTGCCAAAAGTCGATGCAGAAACCGCTGACCTCCCCAGGTGTTAGCCGGAATGCATCGGCTTGGGCAAGGGCTTGGGTCGCTGTGGAGCAAGGTGCAGGTAGAGATGGGAAATACGGTGAATGAGAAAGACAACGAGGTTTTTAGAGCCGATTCGGTTTTTGATTTTGATTTTGATTTTGATCTTATGGGGCAGCAACTCGACGGCCCAAAGTACCCAAGCCGAAAGCAACCGAAATGAAAAACAGCAATTGGTATTATAGGAAAGTCAATCGTCACACCATGTTTCGATCGCTGACGCAGCGATAGGGCCGGCGGAAGAGAAGGACAAAGGTTTTACATTCACTGCTCTTAGTGTCTCCCTAGGGTCCCTCGCCATGCGTACTTGAAGTCGGCTCTGCCAGTGTTCCCCGTCCCTTAACTTCGTATTGTGGTGCGCGCAAAATGCCTCATCATTGTCTCGCCAGTACACCTGGGAGTTTTCTGTTCTTCGTCCCAGGCCTGGCGTACTTTTCTAGTCGCTTCTGAAGTCGAAAAACAAGCCCGCCTAGCTCAATCGGATAGAGCGTCAGACTCTTACTGAGGCGGATGGAGATGGAGATTACATCCAACTGTCAACTGTAATCTGAAGGCTGCGAGTTCGACCCTCGCGGTGGGCTAGCACTTCTCTTTTGCCGACGTCGGATTTGCGTGCCAGTGGAACCCGTTCTAATATACTTCAAACTCCGTGCGAATGCGGTCGGACTCGCTGCGTCGCTTCATTTTGGCCTTGTCCTGGGAGGCTTTGACATCCTCTGGAGGGCGGTTCTTGCAATGCTTCTCGGGGGATCCAGACTGCGCAAAGTGTACCCACAGTGGTCACAGAAGAATCTGCAGGTGCTTGAACACAGAAGCTTCTGCGGCCTTTTGCGATTGCCCTGGTCACCGACTCAGTTCCTTGTTGTCGGGAATAATGTCATTTCCTTGTCCTCAATAGGGGGAGGGGTTCTCTGTGACTACCGGGTGGACGAGATGACTCATCTGCAAAATGACATCTTACTGGAGTGTCTGGGACCAATACAGCCAGACCGTGGGTGCACCATGGGGCATTATGTGCTATGGTGGGCATGTGAGCCCATGGATATTTCCGCACCCGCCTTTGTCAGTCACACTGGGTCCTGTTCCCCATAGCTTTCTCGGTGTCACCCTGGTTGGTATTCTACTTATGGTTTTGGGATTGGAGTCCGATTTATAGCTACTAGATATGTATTTTTTCGGGAGGTGGTGTTCCGGTCGTAAAAGATTGTAATTCCTAACAACACCTGGTGTTGGTAGAGGTTCAAGGAGCCCCCGACGATATCATGTGGTTAAAACGGCTGGCGAGCGATGTGAACGCGCGACGATAATTTTGGCGGGTTCTACGGGCAAAGCCAAGGGACGCGAAAACCTGGGCCGCGTACACGACAAGAGACCAGCGGAACTTTTCGAGCTCCTTAACACTTGCAGGGTTATTCTTCCAAATGAAACCTGCGATCTGGACCACCCGAGAATAATTGCTGTGCGTGTCCGCCCAGCTTACCCAAGGTCTGGCGCCATATATACCGCGCACAAGCTCAATCGCCCCGAGCGTAAAACTGGCAGGTATGTGGGTGGAAAGGGTCACCAGGCTGATAAAGTATTTACGATCGAGCCCGGGGTTGCATGACGTGATCTCCTTGAATTGATGTCGTCGTCTATAGGATGCATCAATGGCCATGACTGTGTTGATGAGGGATGACGCCAAAGCGTGAAGCCGAGCCAAGTCGCTCACCAGCATAGACCAAAGCTATCGCATTGATCGCCACGGGCCACCCGAAGACGAGGAAGTAGGATGGTACCATATCCACAACAACAGAGTACGGGCCAAAATCTTCGAACAAATTGTAACGATGACCAGAAACAACAACGTCTGCGTTGAACCGCTTGAACAATCGGTCGAAGGTACGTGATCTAGAGGTTCACTCACGGGCTATTATTTCGAGAATTGGGATGCCAATGCCAATAAGCAAATCAGTTATGACCGCGCGGCGCTTCTCTGCTCTTGTGGGCATTACTACCGCTGTCGCAGAAACAATCTTATATAGACGACGGTTGATAGCGACCATGCAAGCAGGGATCGCGACATCAAGCGCAACTTGAATCCGGGTTGCTGCGGGCTAATTTAATGAACGTTCGGGAGAAGGAGGTTTGAAATATCTACAGATGTCACAGTAGACCGGAGCCTTGTCGATCATGTTTCTGTTCCAGACGATGGAGTTGATGCACTGCATGAGGCATCCGAGACCGGCCCAAGCCATGTACAAACAGGCGCCCGCATTCCACGCTGTGCCACTCAGTCATTCTCAGAAGCCGTACTCAAATCACTGGTTACACGTACCTTCGAGATGCCATTGGAAGGGAATGGCACAGAATACGAAACCAACGAAAGAGAAAGCAGTATAGAGTTCATTGAAAGGGGGTCCCATTTTATGGCTCTCGAATGCGAAGGCGTGGGCCGTGATGTGAACAAGGGCTACGGGGAGCCAGAGGGTATAGAAGCGATTGCGATTTGCCAGAGGATGGGGCAGGACCAAAGTGAAATTCGGAGAGCTTAAAGAGGGGAATGCGACACACAGCTGGAGTGCAAAACGTGGATGTCCCCTGGTATCCTGGTATCTGCACTGCAGTCATGGTTACTATGTCATATTGCATGACGGCACATCACAGAACGCTGAGGCTGAGACGTCTCTTGGGTGTGCGATTCGGCATTCCTCAATTCGGGAATGTTGTATTCTTTCTTGGGGATAGTGTAAACTGTAAACCAGCAGTCCGGTGAATACCGTACAATGAGTCACATCTGCTGAGTCTAAACCCGATTCCAACAGATGATGCACGGTAAGTGGGTACTTTCGTGGTCAAAAACCAATAACTGAAGTGAGGCATACCAACAAACTGGCAGTACTTTGTTGTTGTACCATTGGCGTGCGGAATCGGAAACCGGGCCGCTCATCGAACTTGCTTGCGACTGCGACGCCGCTTCGCCGCTCCCCTCGTTTCTGACCTCTTAGTCCAACCAGCCCCATCTGGCCGTGGTTCCTCCAAGTGCCTGACACCCTGTGCCATTCCCACCTTCTGTTGTTCTTCATCCCGATCCATTCAAATTCGTGCTCTACATCCATGTGGTGTGGCATCATCTGTGAGCTAACGGAGAAGGAAGTCAGCAACACTCATCTGACAGCGGTGTGAATTCGTGTACGAGCAAAAGTCAGGTTCCTGGCATTGCCTAGAGACAGGTGAGATGACTGGCAAGTGGCATTGTTGCATGCATAAGCTGGCAACGACTGGCAGAACTGGCATTGGTGGTGCCAGTAATCCCAAATCCCAGACGTGCCAGATGTCAGGGCCATCTGCTGACGGATGCGAGTGGGACTATGACTGCCCGTGAGGCAGCCCGTCGGCCAGTCAGACCTGAGTTCTTAGCAGATTCCGTTGGACATTTTACAGGAGCAAAACCATTTGGATGGGGCCTACTAGTACGTCACCCAGACGTAATTCGCTTCACCTTTATCCCCTCCTTCCTCTCATCTTGCCACGTTCGAAGGAGGATTGCGTTACAAGTTTTGACTCACTGGCAATCGGGGCATGCCGTGTCGTAGCCCCGGGCCGGAATTTCGCGACGCCGGAGCAATTTAGCACGGGACGCCGCCTGCTCCGTTCCGAGGGTGTCTATGAACGTTCATGCACGTTCATGAACCCACGCGCCCCTGGGACTGCGCGTTTTAAAAATGCGCAACCTGCGATTCGATGCATCAATAATCACCCCACAACCTTTGCTCAGCTTTATTCTCTCCATCGCCCACACAATACCATGAGCGATTACCATCTGGCAGCCCTGACCCCCGTGAGGCGCTTTTGCCTCCCTTGGCGCTTATACCCCAGTCTCACGGTCTCACGCAGCAGAACAGCGGGTACCAGCCAGAGTGTGGCAAGAACGTGCAAATGCCTTGGCAATCTCGTGAGTCTTAATTGCTTGTGCTTGAAAGAGGCGGGGCTAAGTAACCGCTGACGGCGCCGAGAGGCCCGAAATCTAGACCGGCCCACCTTGTCGGGGACCGACCCTGACTGCGGCGGCCATCCCCAGAAGTAAGGTCTCCGTATCGGAGTGCCCACTCACTTCTCTGATGTCCTGATCGCGTTTCACGCGCATGCACATATTGTTAGCCTGTGCACATCATCATCATCACCATCGGACCATGCTTGCGAAGGCGTTGCGGACATTGCTACCGCGCCAGCGGCGTGCGTCCTACCCGTCCCGAATCTCGACGTGCACCACCGCCACCTCGGCCATTTGCGAACTGGAGAGCAGATACCGCCACTGCCTCCGACCACGCGTCGGCCGAGACGGCGGACCGTGTTGGTACAAGACATCGTCGTGCGACTGCTGATCATGTCACAGCTCGAGACAAGCTGATGGATCGCTGTGCTGCCGTGGATCGTTTCGTTGTCACGGTCATGAGTTTCTACACCCATCGAGGTGCCACTAGTACTGCTGCGACTGCAAGCAACCGGACTTGTCCCTGTTCTATTAATACTGTACAAGGAGAATTTATTCGGTCGCGACATATCTCATTCAGTCCTTTCGAGTGACGTGGGGAAGTAATTTGTTACGTAGTGGGGTCCTTCTGTTGCCCTTCGGTACGGGAATGACACTCGTTATGTAACACTCACTACATGATACAGATATAGCGCATACCCTCGGGAGTCAGCCCAAGGTATGCCTTATCTGGGTAAGTATACAACTGAAAACGAAGTTGGGAGTCACAAAAAAACTATACCTTATCGTAGAGTATGCCTTTTCAGGGGTAGGGTATGCCTTATATGAGAGTCGACTGAAATGCAAAGTAGAAGATATGAGACCACCTCCTCGCTGAGCATGTCAAACATACTAGCCTCATGCGTTTGGCTGTTAGGGTGCTGAATGGGCGTGGATGAGGGTCAAGCTGCGGGTCCAGCTGTGGGTGCAGGTGCGGGGAGGTACATCTGGCGTAACATGTTGGCTACATCGTGTTGGCCATCAGCTTCCATGAACGTGATGAGATCCACAAGTCCTGCTCTGAAAATATGCTCATCAAAGGCGGTAGGGATCCCTGCATTCATGAGAACTGCGAGTGTTTCCGTGAAAGAGTTGACTTGCTCGGTCGGGAGGTCATCCACCTGGTTCGAAAGGACGCCACGAACAAAGGAATTCAGGTTCATACGGTCGAGGGAGTCGGGCGTAGAGCCGAATATTGTGTTTTGCGGTTCCCCGGTGACGTAGTGTAGCCAATCCAGCTCCATGGCTTCGAACCACTCTCTGCGCATGAGCAATCTTGCGAGCAATGCACAAATGGAACGAGAAGTAACGCGGACAGCAACATCTGCATCGGTCCAGAGATCCTGCATGATATTCATTGCCGCGAAATTGGACCGAACGTCATCCACCAAACTCCTCATCCCAAGTACCGGATCTCCTTGTGGACTGATAAAGGCCTTGACGACGTGGTGGACAGCAGCCAAGCATACATTGAGGGAGCGCTGGCGCACATCCTCGTCGAGTCCGACTGCACGTGCGTCTACGGCGCAGCAGCGTAGGACCGAAAGGAGGTGTTCGCGGAAGACGATT